AAGCTCCCAGCGAATGGGGCTCACCAAGGTGCCTCCCGAGCCTAAGCTGGTAATTATAACCGCGCGGACGGGCCACCTGGCCAGGCTCCGCATATTGTCGGGCCCAGCTCCGCGCATTTTCCGCGCCACCTCATATCGGAGCTAATGCCCAGCGCCATCGTGATCAGCTCTCCCAAGCGCCAAAAGGGTAGCGACGCGGGCTCCTGGGCGGTGGTGTGCCGAGCGCCTGGTGGGCCCAAGTCCCGACTGCAATGGCAGCTGGTCTGAACAATCTGCTAGCCTTCGCGTTAAGGGCGGACAGGGGACTCAGCCTCTTGGACCTCCTCATAGCATCCCTCTTTCGATCATTCATTTTCCACATAGTACGCCTACGCCTAGCAGCGGTGCCAACTCCCAGGTCTTTGACAGTGTCCACGAATTTGAAGGGGGAGCCCGGGCCTGGAAGAGGCAACCCTCGGCGGCCGCTCAAGAGCTTTGCCGAAAAGAACCGCGGCCGACTTCTCAGATATGGCACAACCACGAGCGCGGAATCTAGCGCAGAGATCGGCGGCTGCAGGAACAGGATGCTGGCGCGAATAGACAGCTGAGCCCTGCAGCGACTGCGTGACGTCATCCACGTGCGCAAAAACTGGGGCAAGAGGGGGCCGTGCATTGATGTGTTCGCGTATGCCATAAACATACCATTTGATCCATGGTAGTGACTGCGAGCAGCCGACAAGTACAGAGATCCCACTGGGTACCGCAGAGGACGCCTTGTTGGTCGCGTCTAGAATCCTAGGGGCTGCGTGCATCATGGGGCCCGGGGTGCAGTGGGAGAAGGGAGTAGTTCAAATTCAGCGCCGGCCCTATCAGCTGGACAGGGTCGATCCTGTCGGAAAACTTCTCCATGTCTCAATGGACGGAGGCATGCGCTCCTCCTAACTCTCGAGCGACCTCGTGCACCAATTGCCTTTTCATAGCTGCCCTCAGGGCCGGCGGGTTTTTGACAGCGGAATCGCAGAAAGCAGTGTGAGTATCGGTCCACTCCAAGATTTGATCCCCGCCCCTTAGCATCGTGTAGACCCTATATAGGGTCGGGCATTTGGTGATGGGTCATTCAGAGGTCTAATTCTTGGGCAGTGGCGCGGCGATGTTCAAAAAGACCTGCTGAGGGAACGTGAGCATCCGCTCGACGTCTAGGTCAATGCCTGCGAGAGGCTCAGGGGCCTCGATTGGGGGCTTCACAGAATCTCTAGGGGGCCACTCGTCAAACCCAAGGCCAGTGCCCGCATGGCACCACCTCGACACTCGGAGCATGTCCTGGGGCCCAATGGGCTCCATCCCGAGCGCTTCTTCCTCAGCAGACGGCCGCGGGCGGCCCGTGGCAAACTCCTACTCATTTTTCTCGGCGGCGCTGGGGGTCCAAGACTTCCTCCAAAAACTTCGCGATGAGTCGTCGTCTCATTAGGCATCTGGGCAATCCCAGACTGGGTATTGTGAAACTGCACTTCTTGCTCAGACTCATTCTTAAGCCACCCGTGTATCTTCTTGGCCCCACCTTTCAGCCCGGTGGAGATCCAATCCCGCAGGGGCTGCCCGCCATTTTTCCGAGCCTCGCGACTGAGGATAGGCGCGCTGGCCCCGAGCGTTGGAAGTGAGCCAATCGGCCCACATCTGCGCGTGTTGTGGCTCTCCCAGCGGGCTTAAGTGATGATGAACTTCGGCTGCTTGGGCAGCCGACGTGGCCCCGAGTGCATGTAGGCGGTCGGCTCCACCGCGCCTAAGCGAACGAGCTAGGTCAACAAGTCTAGCAGAGATAGACGACCAAAAGGCGAAATCAGGGCACGCAGATCCCTGCTTGATGGTACCTCGTTGGGGAGGGGGCCCGAACCGAAGCTTGGCGCCAGAACCTCTGGCGCCTCGGGTGGGTTCCCGCTTGGCCCTCGACCTGGAGCGCGACGGGTTTCGGCCGCCGCGGACCCTTCCAAGTGCATTTTGCCCAGGTGTCCTGCGTGGGCATGCGCGTGGTATGACAGGGGAGCTCCTTCCACTTCCTGTGGCACTTGGTGGTCCTGGCTCGCACCAGCCCCCACTTCCTGCGCGTGGTGGCCCCGCTGTTGGTCAGGCCAAACTGCTGGCAAAAGGGAGGTGGCTTGCTTCGCTTGCAAACTTCAGCCTGCATGACTGCGTGAGGTAGCGTAGTATCTAATGGCGCATGGCTTCTTGGAGTGTTTCCAGATCAGCTTCAACGTGGACAAATAACCCAAGATCATGGGGCTCAATGTCAGTACTCGTTTCACACGTATAGGTAACACTACTAGGTTCAATCACTCCCTCCTTCTCTTGCTCGCGGAAGCCACATTGATGCAGCGCGAGCGGTTCAACAATAAAGCCACCAACGAGGGCCCGCGGCATCTCGATCATATCAACGAAATCGGCGATCTGCTGGAGGCGCTTAACATTGGTGGCGTCTACTCCAACACCTGAAACCTGATGAGCCACCCCTGCTGCCAACGCAACACTTTTCGTCTTGATTTCCAGGAAGAACGGGGACGCGCCAACTCCGATATCATGCGCTCCACCTGGGACCCCTCGAGGAAACCGTTCCATGTAGATGCCGTTCTGGGCCGCCGCGCCGACGCCTCCTTGAACGCAGCCTCCTGGTGGCGCTGCGGCAATCCGGAAATTGGGCCTCCGACCCATCTGTGCGCGCTCTCGCTCAGCGGCTTCGAGCCGCGCTTCGTCGCCCGCGTGATGTTCAGAAAAGATAAGCGTCCGTGTCGGTCAGCGCCAAAGAGATGAAATCTTTCGCAAGCGGTGGCCCGCTAGCTGCGTCGGCCAACTTGAGACTCGATTCTCGCCCGTGCTTGTTGCTGAAGCTGTTGCTGGACTGACTTGGGGGGTGGGCGGGGGTCGCGTTGCGCGCAAAAGCGGGTGCCAGAAGATCATTAACATAGGCCGCCGCCTTGGGGCGGTGGGCCGTCTTGGCCCCGAACTTGTCGGTGAGGAGGGCCCCCAGCCGCTCCGGGTCGCCTGGGTCGACAGCGTCGGCCGTGCGCTTAAGCCTCGGCGCCTCGAGCTCCTTTGACCACTCTTCGTCGAGCAAGTCTTGTCTGCGTCATCGCCGATCCCGACGGGTCGTTCCTTGCCTCCGAGTTCTTCTTCGTTGTGAGCAGCTGGCCCTCCACCAGCGCCTTCTGCGCGAAGTAGATTACGCGCTGCCAGCTGGGCTGTGCGTAGAGCTTGCCATTCTGCGAGAGAAACTTGGGTGACGTCGGCAATGCGCCGCAGGTCGTCATCGTTGAACTCGCGAAGCCGATGTAGTAGATCAGGTTGGAAGGCTGCCGCGGCAGCGGCGGTGGCGGACCAGGGCGGGGCGCTCCCTGCAGCCGTTGGGCTGGCGGGGCTGGCCGCCTGACTGGCGGGGCAAGCCTCGCCGCCGTCGGGGTCAGGCGGCCTGGGGCCCCAAGCCCTCGCGGCCTCCGCTGCTGCCTGCTGCGCGCGCCTGTGCTCCTCCCCGTCGAACTGGGACTGGGTGGCTTTCGCTTCATCATGCGTTTTGCGAGAGACCTCCAACTCGCTGGTAGCTTGTTGGTGCGCTCGCTGCTTCTGCCTCAGCCACGTTCGCACGATGTTTCGCCAACACCTGCTTCACCGACTGGTACTGCCACGCCATCCTCCCCGATTTAGCCGCCTGCTCCACATCTTGAGCGGACTGGGTCCTCTTGGCCGCCGCGAGCGCGTCCAACTCAGTGGCGGGCGGCGGCCGACGGCGGCTGCGGGGGAAGCCTTGGCTGGCAGAAGAGCTTGAACGTGCTGCCGAAGACTTGGGAACGCATCAGTAGCTGCTTAAACTTGCTGCGGAGGAATATATCAACGGACGTGCCATCTCATTGATAAACTGCTGGCGCCGATTCAGTTGAACTTTGTCGATCTGGGCACCCACACTTGGAGTGAGACCTGTCCCCAGTAGGTGTACTCCGAGTGCCCGCACTTGTTGTTGCCACTGTAGGGATAGCTCTGGTCCTCGGTTCGACGCTGCCGAGGCCGACGCACACCACCTGCACCACGAGGGTGGCCAGCTTGAGAAGGCTGGCCCTGCCATACCCACGGCGCGCGGGTCCATTGCTGGCCATGCGCGCCCAGGTGCTCCACCAAGAGCTCACAAAACTCAGCCCCCAGATAGCGTGCGGGCTTCTCTCTGGTAGCAATCTCGCTCTGCTAATGGGACTTGGGATTGCCACGCAGCTGCGGACAAGCTCGAGGCCTCGCGGCAAGGTTTCGAACTTGAGCCAACATTCCTACGGGGAGGAGGAGGAGGAGAAGGAGGAGGAGGAGGAGGGGGAGGAGGAGCAGGAGGAGGAGCAGGGGGAGGAGGAGGAGGAGGAGGAGGAGGAGGAGGAGGAGGAGGAGGAGGAGGAAGAGGAGGAATATGAAGGGGAGGAGGATGAGGATGAGGATGAGGAGGAGGAGGAGGAGGAGGAGCAGGAGCAGGAGGAGGAGGAGGAGGAGAGGCGGAGGCGAGGCGAGGAGAGGAGGAGGAGAGGAGGAGGAGAGGAGGAGGAGGGGAGGAGGAGGAGGAGGAGGAGGAGGAGGGGGAGGGGGAGGGAAGGGATGGAGTCGATTCTTGTTTCGGCAAGAGAGCATTCATGCGACCAGCGCAATGAGCGCCCATGAGGCGGGGCGGCCCTGGGCGGCCATGAGGGGGAGCCACATCCCCCGACCCCAGCCATCGCACGGGGCGCCCCATGAGGCGCCCACGGGCGGCGAAAAAGCACCCCCATCACATTCCCCGAAAAGAGCCGAACTAAGCGCCCCCGAACGCGAACACTGTTTTGGTAGCGTCCTCCTCTTTCTCTCCTCCTCCTGCTCCTCCTCCTTCTCTTTCTCCTCCTCCTACCTCCTCCTCCTCCTCCTCCTCCACCTCTTCCTCCTCCTCCTCCTCCTCCTTCTCCTCCTCCTCCTCCTCCCTTCTACCTCCGAGGAAGGCGGTCCGATGACTCGCATGCGGAGGGGCGGTCCTCGTAGGTGCAGCGGGGCAGCGGCGACACGAGCCGGAACTCCTCCAAAAGGATGCGGACGCGCAAGAGGGTCGCAGCGGGGACCGGCAGCGGGGAGGAGGCGGATAAGGGGGGAGGAGGCGAAAGAGGGAGGAAGAGGCGAAAGAGGGAGGATGAGGGAGGAGGAGGAGGAGGAGGAGGAGGAGGAGGAGGAGGAGGAGGAAGAGGAGGAGGAGGAGGAGGAGGAGGAGGGAGGAGGAGGAGGAGCAGGAGAAAGAGGAGGAGGAGGGAAGGAGGAGGAGAAGAGGAGGAGGAGGAGGAGGAGGAGGAGGAGGAGAGGGAGGAGGGGGGGGAGGAGGAGGAGGAAAAGGAGGAGGATGAGGAGGATGTGGATGAGGAGGAGACGGAGGGATGAGGCGGATGAGGGAGGGAGCAGGAGGAGGAGGAGGAGGGAGAAGGAAAACAGCAATAGGAGGAGGGAGGCGGAAGACCCCCATATCATTGAATTCCACCAGCACGCAGGAGGAGGGAGGAGGGAAGAGCGACGAGGAAGTTCTGGGATGTCCCTGCCATTGTGTGCGCACTATATGATCTGGAGGTCTTCCGCCTTCCTCCTCCTGCTCCTCTTCTCCTCCTTCTCTTCCTCCTCCCCCTCCTCGTCCTTTCAACGCACCTTTCCCTCGTCACGTCACCTCCTCCTTAGCCTCCTCCGCACCCCTCCCGCTCCTCCTCTCCTCCTGCTGCTGCATCTCTCCATCCCCCGCTCTGATCCTCCTTCTCCTCACTCCTCCTGCCGCTCCACCCGCTCTTCCCGCTCGCGCCCACACGCGCCCACAACGATAGGAAGATCCGCAGGGACAGCCTCAGTGAAACCAATAGGCTAGACATAGGCGCGGGCGGTCAAGGAGAACATGAATAGCACAGGGAAGAACGGCAAGAAGAGAGAAGAAGGGACACAACTATTCAGAAGCAGACAAAGAGTGCCCCCACTCCAGCTCCTGCTCCAGCGCCAGGCCGTCCGCCCAGCGGACGAGAAGGCAGGATGAGGTGTGGGCCTTGCCTGCTGCCACCTGCTGCTAATGCCATCCTCATCGGCTCCACGGTGAGATCCCCCGGGTCTCCCATTAAAGGGCCGCTGTAACTCACCCAACTCCAGCGCCTAGACGGGAGGGGGCACTCTACATGGATGCGTGGGTGATGTCGCCTCAGATGGACACTCTTATGGAAAATGTTATATTGTTCACCTAGGCCGCCTCCGCCAGATGCGGACCCGCTCCTTCAATCCATGTCAAGGGAATCCACGACGCCCTGACCCATGGAGCGCACTTCAGCCTTGTAGCCTGGGATGCGGCCGTTGAGGTGCCAACACTGAACCCTAACTGGGTGCGCGCAGTCCTCCTCCACTTCTTGACCCTCGCCTTGAGCCTGGATGCCGAGGGACGAAATGGTGCCAGCCTGCGCCCGTCTGGTCCCCTCCATGTGGGGACGGGGCCAAGCTTGGGCTTGAGGGCGCACCTGGAGACGGGGCGTTGCTTGGGGCCTCGGGGCGAAGGCAAGGGCCCACTCACTCCTACTCCAACCATGGTCCTGCCCGCGAAACCAAATGTGCTCCTGCTGCTCCTGCTGGGCGTGCTGGTGCTTGTCCACGTCATTTGGGGAACCCGAGTAGTCCAACCCGTTGGGCGACCAGCGGAAGTCGGCCCCCAATTCCGACAACCTTGCTAAACTTGCTGTAGTTCTCGCAGGCGAGAAACTTCGCAAGGTGGCGGGGCAGAACAGAGCAGCCGGAAACTCGAGACAAAGCTGCGAATGTCAAGAGAATGACCTGTGCCAACTTTGCGCGGGCACGGGGCACTCAATGTCAGGGAACTCTTTGCTCCCGTGGTGAATCCGCCACATTCAATGGGAAATTGCCGCTGCCTTCGATCCAGCCTGAGTGTAAGGTATGATTATGCAGCCTGGTCGGTGTTACGACGTTCCTGACAACTGCTGGCTCCCGTCTGCAAGTCTTGTTTGTACCGGGTGAAACTGCCGCGCAAACAGTTCTCACATCTGAACTCTGGCCCGTGCCAAGTAGGACAATGCTTCGCGGCGGACACGCGGGGCTGGCGCTGCACCGTGGGTTTCTCCAATGGTTCGTATACGGCTTCGTTCGGTCACCAGGTGCTCACCGTGAGGCCTGCCCCCGCCGCCAGATCCTCATGCAAGCTGGCGCAAGCCTGCCATTTTGACAGTTGGCGGTTAGCTGCATGTGCAGCTGCTGCTTGCCCTGCGTGGTGGTCGGGGGCCCTCTTGCCTAAGGTGAGGAAGGTGCCCTCCTCGTCCGCTGCCTGCTCCAGCTTCCGACGGGCCTTGACCATCCTGAGCTGGGGCCAATCATGGAAGGAAGGTGTTACCGATTGCTCGCCAATCGGGGAAGGAAGGCATGTTACCATGCTGTCCCATGGAATGCTCTTGTAGGATTCATACACTTCATGAGGCCCGAGTAGTCCAGGATGGAAGGGGCCGTGCGTGGTTGCTG